CCTCCCCACCACTCACCTGGCCTGCTGAAATCTGGACCTTCTGACTGAAGACTGTCCAGACCACACTCTGGTAGCAGGGGGGTGTGGTGAGCGAGCCATTGTAGCGGAAAAACTGTGCCAGCTCTGGGGGGAGCAGCTCTCTCACGCTGAAGGGAGGCACTGAGGTCTTCTGACCTGGGGGAGAACGGACTGGGATCCTCCGGCTGCACCCTAGCTCTGGTTTCCCTAGATAGGGTGCCCGGAAGCAGAATTCCCGCTGCTGCCTCACTCCCTCATCTCTGGCCTCTTAGTATTCATTTATTTATTTATTTTGCAGTGGGAGTCAGGAGGGAGGGATTTCCCTGACGTCTAATCTCACTTTGTCGTAAAACAGATTTTTAGGGCTCACCTTTATACCTGATTTCATGCAAGTGACTCAGAATGTGTTCATAAGCTGGATTCTCAGTCTCACCCACCTGGAAACGGAGAGAGTTTGGCATGAGTCCATGTTTGGAGTAAGGCACTCATTAGAAAATAAATGGTCAGAGTGGTTGCTCACTTGCCTTGGGAGGGAAACCAACAACAGACATGGGTGGAATAGGACTGAGGGGTGCAGAGGGAGTGAAGAGAGACCTAGAAGGCAGTGGGGGCCACTAACCTCAATGAGGATGCCCAAGACAGCCAGGCCCTCAGGGCTCTTCATGGCCTCACCCACGCTGCTGTAGGAATCGGCATCGTAATGCACGATGTGTAGCTGAGCGGGGAGGGAATCGGATCATTTCATCTTTTCTCCACTCCCCACTCCCAAAGGCTCTGACCTCAGCCGCCATCACCCCCACTTCCAGCCCCAGATCTGTCCTCCACCTGCGACTCTGCCAGTTTCCAGGCCCTCCTTTCCCGGGTGCCGACCCTGCCTGGCACCACGTGCTAGTCCAAGCCTCGCTCTCTGGTACCTCTGCAGCCGAGGCTTTGCTGTTGATCTGGTGCTCTGACCCCGTCCTGGATCCTCTCTCACCCCAGTGCAGGTGGAGCTGGACAGCTACATATTTCCGGGGAAGTCCCTCCAGATACAGGGTAGGGGGCAGAGAGAGTTGCACTGTGAGGGAGAGAGAGCGAGAGAGCTCGGGTTGGTAGAGGAGTGTGGACACATCCCCACCCCTGGGTTGCCACCAATTCTGGGGAGACTTGGCCAGCCTTCTCGGTCTTCCTTCACCAATAGCACCCAGTTCTTCCCATGGGCCACTGCTTTTCTAGCACTTCTTTCTCACTGAAGATCAAGTCGATGGTGTTAGACTAATCCACCCAGAGAGCTTGATCATAGACATTCAGTTCCCACTTTTGCTCCGGGAGCCTCATCCCCATTCTCACATCTCCACGTGTCTAGAAGCAGCTTTGGGATTCAGAAGTTGGGAGAACGCTTCTCCCCCGACTGTAAGGTCAGAGGCAGCGCGGTCCCTTGCTTAGAGCCTGGGCTTGTTACCTGTGTGGCCATTATTGTGCAGCTCCAGGGGCCCGGGGCCAGGCTGGTCATATCCGTGGGGCTGCAGAGCGTTCAAGTTCGAGTCAAAAGTCACGCTGTTTGTCTCGATATTGATGGGGGACTGGGCGTTGCCTCCGCACTCGGGGAAAGAGGCCGACCAGTGGTCTTGACCATGTGGGCCTGGTGGAAGTTACCACAGATATTGGTCCTGCCCTCCAGCCATCACCCCCCCAAGTTTCACATCTGTGTAGAGGCAGCAATGTGTGTCCTCCCGCCCCAGGTGAAGACCCCGTTGTGTTCAGCTGGGTGAGGTAGGAGCCCCTGCTGGACCCGATGCTTCTGTTTCCTCCTCCTCCCCCGGGGCAGGGCTGACCCCCAGCTTTCCTGATAGATGGGGGTCGTGGGTTTTACTTACCTGTAGTTTGAGGACAAGAAGGCTCACTGAGAGGAAGAGGGGCTGGATAACCCCCCTCATGCCCAGCCGGGGAGGGGAGTAGGAGCAGGAAAACGGGACATAAAAGGGTCCCCGAGAGGCAGGGTCTCTATAGGAATTTTCCTCATTTGCTTTTTGCTCTCACCCTGGACCTTGCATCGACTCTGGACTTGTTATTAATCAGAAGTTCAAAGGAATTGAATTCCACCTCCACCAGGATCACAAACAATCCTGCCATTCTGTGCCTCACCCCTGACCTCAAGTTCTGTCCCAGTTCCAGATGCAGGTTGGGGGTAGAATCGATTAGGATAGAGAGGTAGGAGGTGAATTGGCAGCTAAGCTCACGGTTCATTTTCCCTATCCAGTATTCTTTCCACTCCAACTCCCCCATCCCACAGACGGAGGGCGCAACTGGCTTTTCTGCCGAGTCAGGGGGTGTGGGATTTGATGATTCAAACAAGGTCTAGGAGTCACATATCCAAAACCTAGGACCTGGGGTGATGGGGAAGGAAAGGCGCTAGGGTGAAAAGCTAAAGCAAGCCGTACGACATAAATCTTCCTGCCAGGTGGAGAGGTCCCCGTGTGAAAGGAGAAATCAGTGTAGGTGGTAGGCCATGGACTCAGCTCACCCTCATATGTCCAGTGTTCGTCTGCAAGACAGAGTAATTTGAGTTACAGCCTGGGGCAGGGCCCTCTGGGGCATCTGTACCCTCCACCTCCCTCTCTGCTGGCTCCTTCTCCCTCCCCCCGCTCCTCCTCCCTCTGCTCCAGCACTTCCCATAGGAAGGCCTGAAACTGGACACCTCCGTGGAAAGGTCGGGAAGGTCAGGGGCCTATTTAAAATCACCAGCCAGGCTGTGCCTGTGCTCGCGGCTGCGTAAAGGGGGAGGAGAAATGAAAAGAGATAAAGTCCGGAGACTAAAATTAACCTGGATCCAAGTGAGCAGTCCACCCAACCCTCGCTTTCCCCCAGCCTGTGCCAAGCCAGTCTAACACTGAGAAGATCGGGGTGAGATGAGTGGGCAGGGGGTTTGGAGGAAAGAGATGAACAGGGAGGGAGAGGAAGTTCAGAGGAGGAGACAGTGTTACTGAGGGGAGAAGGGCATTGCTCAAATCAAAGCACTGAGCGGGCAGTGAACATTTAGCTTCCTCCTCTGGTTCCAGTCACTCTAAAGGAAACGTCCCCCATCACCAGGAGCCCAGATGGCTAGGGAAGGCGGGAGTCAGGCCAGGGTCCACTCTACACGGAGGGTGGTGGGTGGGCACAGGCAGCCAGGCTGGCAGGGACAGGATGAAAGTGGAGCATTGTGTGTGGGAAAGAGAGCTGCCAGCTGGGTCACATGCCAGGCTCGCGTGCAGTCCCGTCTGGGGCTGACAGGCAGGGGGTCTGCTGGCCCAGCCCTCACCGCACCCAGAACCAAATTGCTTCCAGGGGGAAAGCGAGCCCTCCCTGCAGGTCCATCTGCATTCAAATGGCTAGAAACTTTGGAGAAAAATCCTAACTTCCTTTCTCTCTCTTATTCCCTTAAATTCCTCAGACTTCTAAGATATCCTTGATCTCAGTCTTGGGTTCTTCCGCTAGCCCATCCCATGGTTCAGACAACAGTGAAAGGCCGCCCACTGGAGGCTAGAGGAGCCTCCATTCACCAGTTCAGCGGGACGTCCTAACAACTCGAACCCCTGGCCCTTCCCCTCCACCAAATCCTCACGCACTCATTTTACATCGCTTCCTGAGGACTTTCCTCATTTTCTTCTCTTTCCTCAGAGGCAATGAGCTGCTCTGCATTTGGCTCCCCCACCATCCTCTCTGCCACCGTGCTCTCCTGACAACCCCCTTCACCGTGTTCTTCCAGCGACCCAATCACACACCTGCTGGGTGCTGGGTACTGCAGGAGGCACAGGAGACACAAAAATGAGGGTGGGGTCCTGGGGACGCCCCCCCAAGCACCTCAACCTGTTCTCCCAAGAGTCCCCCCTCATGTCCCTGGGGCTCCTGAAAGGCCTTTGTAAACTGTAAAGGGCCCAGCTGTGTTGACTATCATTGCTACTTCCTTCTAGGGAAAAACTGGGAAATTAGTCATTCCACAGACTCAAAGGGACCCTTGGCCATGGGGTTCATGGTCCGGCATCAGGGTCTGAGTTAGGCCAGTGGTTAGGCTATACCCCTCCCTGACATCAGTTTTTTATTTTCTCATTCCAGGGCTCTTTGACTCCCTCATTGGGGGAGTTAGTAGATGAGACAGGCCAGGAGGGCTGCCTGGGACGAGGGCAGTGGGGGCAAGAGCTCTGGAGAGAATCTGTAGCCAGCACAGAGGTTCCAGAGTGTGTTTACACATCCTGCCACCCCCCGCCCCCCAGCTTCCCCCTCCTCACTAACAGCAGGGCTGGGAAGGCAGAGGGGGAAGAAGGAAAGTGATCTTCTCCCCACTCCCCTGTTGTGCCCCCAATCGCTGAGACGATTTTTCTAGCCCCTAGGCTTCCTTAACCACCCTCCTCCCGCTCAGCTTGCGTAAGGACGTCAGCAGACACCGACATTCAGATGTACCTACCCCCGAAAGCAGCCAGGATCCAAATCACCTGTAGCAGGAACGTGAAGAACATGATGGTATCCTCGGAGGGAGCACAAGGTACTGGGAGTTTGGAGACTGGAGGACCAGATTAGAGAGAGGGGGGAGGGAGAGAGAGAGAGAGAGAGAGAGAGAGAGAGAGTCCTGAAGTTGAATGTATTTATCTCTTCTCTTTTTCTCTTGCTGTCTCTGTGTCTCTGTGGGCTTCCAGGTGGTTGGTTCTCAGTCGGCTACCGTTGGTTTCGAGGTTCCCCAGGACAAATCTCGCTGCCCTCTGTCTGGGCCCTCTCTCTTTTATCTCCCTCTGCAGTCTTCACTCTACTTGCTGGCCAGCGACTTCACAATTGCCTTCTGCTTTTAAGGTGGCTCTGGATGGGTATAGGTGGGGAGCTGGGCTGCCTGGGTTGCTGGCCAACAGCTCCTTAAATAGCCGATTAGGCATGCAGGTTGGCCCTGCTCAGAGCCGAGCACGCTGAGTGCACCCCGGGTTCCACTGGAGACCTGGCCCTGGCTCAGGAGCCCAGCTGGGTGAGCTCTTCCTTCCTCCTCTTTCCACACAGACACTGTTCAGAAGGGTGTCCCCTGGAGGGGGAGGGGCAGGGAAGGAGGGCTCCAGGGTTCAATCCAGCCCACGCAGGGGGACACTGGGTTCTCATTCCCCGGCTGGCTGCTCTGAGGAGCAGCTCCCTGGGTGGCGTGGGGCAGACGGTGGGAGGACCAGTTCCCAATCTCCTGAAGAATTTGAACGGCGCTGGAAGAGGAAGAGGCCAGAGTTAGGAGACAGGTGACCAGGAGGAGTTGGGAGACTCAGGGTAGGAAGTCAAGGACTAAAACCTGAGTTGTGGGAAATAAAGAGGAGCAGCGAGGCCAAGAGAACTTGTCTGGAGTGCCTGTCACCACCCCCTTCCCACGGTGAGGCCCGGGTCCACGTGCCTGTGTGGCCTGGGTGGGGGGTGGGGGTTTTGTTTGTTGTATAAAGCCCATTTGTATGCCCAGCGGGGGAGGGGCTGTCGCAGCACCATGGGGAGACAGCGGCTCCAACTGCCAGACCCAGGCACCTCCCTCCCCAGGGAGTCCAGATCTGGGGCAGGCTTTTGTCACTGAAAAGGACACTAACCCCTGGCAGGGAGGCCAGGGCAGGAGGAGAGATGGGGAGACCTTAGAAACAATCACTGCCATCACCAAAAAAGGCGGGCTCCGGAGAAAGAGAGGGGAGGGAGCACGGGGAGACCATGTGACCCGGCTGGAAGAGGGGCCCAGGGTCTTCCCTCCCAACAAAGGGCTGAGCAGGACACGTGGGGCCCAGTGAGACCTGCCACCGGGAGCTGGGCGCGGGGCCGTGTCGGGAATGTGGGCTACTGCTTACTCCCCAGGGGACTGGAAATCCCGATCGGAATGCACACCCGAAGTCCTTCATCAGAGAACGGGAAACCCAGATACTTTCAGACCAGACGCTGCGATCTCTCTCTCCATCATACCCTTCATCAGCCACCAA